CTTATGTTTCGGATTATTGTCTTTTTGCAGTATCCAATAATGGTTATTTTTGCTGTAAAGCATTTCAGCTGATTTCAGTAAGCTCTTTTTATACAATTTTATCATTCTCAAGGCGTTTAGGTTTTCTGTGGAGCACCTCAGAACGCCAAATCCATGAGCAGAGAAGTATCCACAAGCATGCATCTTTTGGGGGCGCTTAACATTCTTTAAATAAATGTTTGCTCTTTTCTTAGCCAAACACGTCTCAAGAGGTTGAGTAACACAAAAGTTTATGCATCTGTAAATATTACACTGCTGAAATCACGCTCAAACTTATTTCAATATGTGTTTTTAAAAGTAGGGGTTTGATTACCATACAGTCGCGTTTTATGACATCTACGTTCCCCCCCTTCACAAATTTACAACTCGTATTTAAACACTTTGAAGTTTTTTAATAGTCCATTTTGGACTTTTAGGGTGACTCGTTAGAAAGGCTGCTTCCAAACTTTCTTATACTGAGCACTTTGTTTTCTTATTTTACGGCACGACGTGACACATTAAGATATTCGAAAAAAAATTGATTAATTGCACGCGTCAGCGCGCAATTGAGCATATGTTAATTTGAAAAAAAAAATACTAATAGTTATTTTTTGAATTGACTGAATGTTATAAAAACAATTTAAACCTATGAAAAATATTGAAAAATAATAAGAAATATTGAACATTTTTAGAACTGCAAAATTCGAATACAAAAAAATGAACAAGAACGATGCAACAAAAATAACTGTACAAGTGCTCTGGCTCCACTTTTGTTTAACTTAATGATTTATTTAACTTGCCTACGAAATTTAGTAGCGAGCCTTAATTCCACCTAAACAAAAGATGCAGTTGTCAGAAATTGCAATGTAAAATGGATCGGGCCACAAATTACCTCATATGCTCCTTAAGACAAGTTCTCGTGTCAAATTTTTGTTGAACTACTTATGTTTGTATATGTTTTCGAAAAATAAAAAATGTTCCTGTATTCCAAAAGTCACTAACTTTATCAAACAGTCCCTGTATTCAATACAAAAGACTGATATGAAATGAGTTCGAAATGCATACGAAATTTATTGCGATTATCTACATGACTACCAACAATAAAATCAGTATATCAGTATATACAAGGTGCGTTCCAAAGTAAACAGGACTTTTAAAAAAAAGACAGAACAAATGGTTTTATCGGCAAAATCAATTAATTGTATTCAAAATAGTCTCTGCTTTAATACAGCTTTTTGCACGGTCCAAAAGCATGTCGAACGAGTGTTTTAGCTCGTTGCCCGGTATGGCCGCCAGTATGCCGGTGCAAGCCTTTTGAATGGCATCCACGTCTGCATAACGTTTTCTTTCACCGGCTAATACATTTTTCCGAAAAGGTAGAAGCGCGGTAGTGGTTGATTGTTAAAATCTGATATTTGGTCAAATAATCGGCCACATGCATCGATCGATGAGTCGGCGCATTATCGTGCAACAAACGCCAACTTCCACCTTCGCGATATTCGGGCCGAAGACGTCGAATACGGCGCACCAAACGCTTCAAAACTCCAAGGTAGAATACCGCATTAACGTTTTGGCTGGTTGGAAGAAATTCTTTGTGGACAATACCTTGGAATCATAAAAACAAATCAGCATTGTCTTCACTTTTGACTTCTCCAGGCGCGATTTTTTGGGTTTCGCCTCATTTCTCATTTATGTCCTCACGACCACTTTGAAAACGTTGAAACCACTCGTGCACTGTGCTACGGGATAGGCAATCATCGCCATAAATTTCATCAATTGAAACGTTTCGGTAAAAGTTTTACCACTTTTAAAACAAAATTTAATGTTGGCTCTTTGTTCGAAGCTCATTTTCGCACCGATGACAAAAACCTACTGACACTTAAAACGCAATAACTTCACTTCCAATAGATGAAATGTTATGAAATTTTTACTGGAAGTCGATAAAGGATAGCAGATTCTAACGCACTAGTCGACATATAGATGGCTAGACTAAATGACTAGAACTTACTTTTTTACTGTTTACTTTGGAACACACCTTGTATTTCGGACACCATAAACCTTTTAATTTCAATTGCCTTTGACTTCAAAAATCTTTTAAATTTTCTAGAGGCATTTGTGTGCATTTATGGTTTATTGGCATTTATAAATCAATGCATTTGCTTCCAAAAATCGATTTAATGCCACCTTTCAACTTACCAAAAATGTCATTGCATTTGTTTATTACAAAATAATTAATTATATAGCACCAATGGATAATTGTAGATATTTCTATCCTCCATAAATAGTTTTATGTAAAACGGTTATCACAATTTCGTCGTTACTAAATCGTCGCTGTGTGTAATCAGCACTGGCTCATCCGTATAACCAATGTTGACCTCAGAACCGCAATCAGTAAAAGCTGAATATCTGATTACGAGATAAGTAAAATGTTGCAAATATTTCAATTTAATCGGAATTGTGGTAATGACCATATAAACTACAATTTGGTTCACTTCTAATTTATACACGGTTACACCAACATACAGCCACAAGCCTGCGCATGTTTGTGTTGCATGCAAAATTAAGTGGCTGATATTCATTAACTCTATACTTGCAACAACTTACAAATTTTATAATCGTGGCTACATACGAGTATATAGGCGCACAGTTGCAAACATATTAAAGGTTAATATATTTATGCACATACATACGTAATTATAGTTATAGTTGTGTTGCCGTTGTCTGATTTTTAATTTTAATTAACGTCAATTAGTGGTTTGCTCATACATCTGTGGCACCGGTCAGCGCGGTCTGACTGCTGCTATTGGTAAATTGTATATGGTCAGTATAATTTGGGAGACACATATACTTTCTGTTCGTACCAAATATCGGTGTTGGCAATATAGAGGTTTCAGGTGGAAGCATGTCTTCTTGAAAGTCTCATTTGGAACGATTCAACATTTATTTGGCTTAAATTTTATTTGTCAGATTTAATTTTCTGAAATATGAAATTTAGAGAAATTCCCATTTTGCAGATATAAAAAATAAGTTTTATGGTCAGAGCAATTATAAATAGCATAAATTTTGGTCAATTCCCTTTTTGTGCAAATTTGAAATGTATTAATATTTTGTGACTATCAATGTAATCAGATGTGCTTGGTAAAGACATTTTTTATTGGTAAACTTGCTTAGAGTGCATGTCTTCTTTTTTCTTTAATAACTACGCTTGTGCAAATACACTATATATTTATTTAAAAAACAATATTAACATTTGTTTTTAAAAAATCCTTATTTTTCACCATATAAATAAGTTTTAAAGGTAAGAAATCAATCTCCTATTTTTGCATACGACCAATTTTCTGGAACCAATCTACCGTAAAAAAAACAGAATGAAGTGTAAAATATTAGTTGGTTTTCTTATTATGGCACGAGTTCATAATACACCGTCGCTCGTTGTGTCGCTTTTAAATAAGGTGATTCCGAAGTTTGGCCCAGTAGCTGTCAATTTGTATCAAACACGGGTGTATTTTTAGACGTGTGGTTTTCAATGAGACAATACCCTTTGGAGTTGGTATTTTTGACAGCTTTTAGTTGATTCATGTTCAGTTTGGCTCCTTTTCATATTGAACAAACTTACTCCGGTATAATTTTTGCAAGTCGTGAAGTCGACGTGAAATATGCGGTCGACATAAAAACCTTGCACACCAAAGACGCTATTGCTGCTGTGGCAGAGTATCGAAAAAGATCCTAATGAATCCATTCGCCATCGCGAGCAACATTTGGGGTGAGGGGTTTTGGTTTGCGGACATACAAAATTTAACTCGTTCAAGAATTGAAGGCGAACGAACATCAAGCGCACGTCCGGCGAATGATGCCAAAACGAAATGATCAAAAATTCGATTTTCACAAGAAAATCTTGTTCAACGATGAAGCTCACTTTGGGTTGAATAGGTACGTTAATAAACAAAATTTTCGCATTTGAAGTGATGATAATCCACAAGCTATTGCGGTGATGCCATTATATCCTCACAAAGTCACTGTTTGTTATGCTCTATGGACAGAGGGAATCATTGGTCCATATTTATTCAAAAGTGAAGCCGGCCATAATGTTACAGTCAATGGAGAACACTATATGGCAATAGTAAATGAATTTTTTGTGCCTGAATTGGATGATATTGATGTGGATGACCTTTGGTACACAGCTAACGAAACAAAAAATTTATTGAAGGAAACATTTGATGAGCGCATTATCTCGCGTGGTGAGCCAAGATTGTGCGATTTAACACCGCTGAATTTTTTTTAGGGATTTTGGGGGGTCTTCGCAGATAAGCTTGATACAATTGAGGCCTTGGAAGATAATTTTCCGCCCATTACTGTCGACATACTGCCCTAAATGCTGCAAAAAGTGATTGGAAATTGAGCCACTCGTCTGGGATTTATTCAAGCCAATCGCGGCGGTCACTAGCTCGAAATAATGGGAAACTCTTATTAATAATTATGCTAAATTATTGGCCATAATAATTAATAGGCGTTTTATTTTTTCTTGGAACCATATGTTCAAAAAAAAAACACCGTATATACATCTTTTTTATATACTCGAATACATTTTTTGAGGACTCTAGTCTGGCCCAACCGATTCCCCTTAACATGCTAGTATTGACTCCGAGCCCAGTAATATCTTATTTACTGTACTCAAGAACTTTTTACGGCTAGTAAGATACGCATTGCAGAGTCGTACTTAAACATGTATTATGAGTTCAAAAGATTCTTCATTTCTCATTTCGCTTTCGGGAAGATCAAGGCAAAGTTTATGGGCGCAAAATTGTTGGTAAGCTCTTGGTCAAACACCAGGACATATCTACTCGAATATTTGTTTAATTATGTAATAAATGTAAGCTTACTGTTTAATAAAATATCGTTATCTGAATTAAACTTCATAAACAATAGTCCCAATAAGCTTTTATAACAGTACATACTAAAATATTGCTTTCCGCTCTTTACAGGTAATCACAGCCAGCGACTCGGCGCCGAAAGCTCTAAAAGATTTACGTAATCGCTGCTTGAATCCCGGCAAATACGCCCAGCACCTGGAGCACTGGCTGGCCTACTATCCCGCCCAACAACTGCATATCATCGATGGCGAACAGTTACGACTCAACCCCGTGGATGTGATGAGCGATTTGCAGCGCTTCCTCAAAATACAACCGACGCTCGACTATTCGAATCATTTGCGTTTCGATGCGAAGAAGGGATTCTTTTGTCAGGCTCTCAGCGAAAAGCGCAATAAATGTCTGGGCAAATCGAAGGGCCGGCAGTACCCGTCGATGGACGAGCGCAGCGCCAAGCTGCTGCAGCGGTGAGTATTATCTTGTATGTGTGTGTGAGTGTAGGTTGGCTGCCAACATATTTCTGGTGTGAGCGTCTACAATTGGCTAACAATTGATGTGTGAAATGTCGGAATGCGTGCTGATTGTTGAGTGGCCGAGTGAAGTGCAAAATGGCGTTTGTTGTTGCTTTTGCACGCTTCCGCTTGGTGGGTGGTTGCTGCAGAATCTCGAAATTCAATTGAGATTGTGAGGAATTTACATACTGCTGCTGTGCGCCTGAGTGTATGCTTCCATAAATCTAAACGGTTTGGTTGTTTATTTTTGATTTTTTGTTGTTGCTCAATTTCACATGCTTGATCGCTTGCAAGCAAACTGACGATGCTGCTGCAGCGCCGCTGGTTTAGGCAAAGTGCATTTCACTGTTTCCTAAATTGCTTTTCCGTTTTTGTTTCGCCAGCTTTGCCAGCTCAACGCTTCACTGTCACCTCAACCGGCACATTTGCGGCGTGCAAACAAAAGTAGTATACGTAGTATATACCTAGAACGCTGCTTTATATGATTGTATATAAGTGCGGCCACACACGTGTCGACATGTTCGGTTCTTCTGCCTTTTTTCCAACTTTTTCTCGTGGCACTTTTCCGGCTATCTGTGCTGCCCGCGTGGTAGTTATCACACGACGGCCGGTGTGTGGCATTCTGCAATGACAGCTCCAACTTCTGCTTTCATTCGTTTTTAAAGTTCCCCTTCAGTTTGCTAGTTTCTGATCCACTTTACTCCTAGTCACACTCAGTGGTGTCTGTCGGCGATGGCAAGCACGTGAAAGATTATATATGAACATGTAGCGTCTGCTTTACAGATTCTCTTACGTAAAGCTCCGTATTGATTGTTATAACATAGTATATTTAATTTTTATTTTATTTAAAAACGTTGAAAAAAGTAATTTTATAAACAGTGACGTCCCCGAATTTGAGTGGGCATGACCAATTTTATTCTAGTTCACCTAAATTGTTACTACCCTTTATACGGCTTTCGGAAAATTCTGTGATTCTAATTCACGTTTAGAGCTTGTCTGCAATCATTATTCCATTTTACAAGTTAGGGCCTTTCTTCGCTGCTTGGGCATATCAACTATGAAGCTTCTCACATCTTTTGCTACTACTAGTTTGCACCGCATTTTTAGGGCTGGGAATATCTAATACACACATTGTCAATGCACAAAAGTATATAAATATGGCTGGCTGGAACTTATTAAGAGCCTTGCGTCGAAAGTTTCGATCGTCCACTATTTGAGATATGAGAGGAGGGAAATTTATATGAAAGTAATGAGATTTGCTCGGAAGGTGCTTGCATTGCTTCGTTATTCCCTGAACAGGATTTATTACGTTTGCCACGAAGTTCGTAACACGCAGAAGGAAACGTCGGAAACCTTATAAAATAAATACACAAATTAAAAGTATGACGAGCTGAGTCTATCTAGTCTGTCTGTCTGTACATACGCGAACTAGTCTATAGTTTCGGTGCAACCGAAGTTATCGCTTGTTTTTGGTCTTTTTAATGATGACAAAAATTAGCTGACAAATTACAGTTTTCGACAGCAGCACATTAAATTTTGTTGTTGTTTTTTTTATTGCTGTGCGCCTGAAATGTGCTATGGAACCCACGTAGCATCATGCATTTGTTGTTATTAAAAAATATTAATTAAATGTTGTTTTTGGTGCAACATTCTTTATGCACCGTTAGTATCGGGCGCTTCCTAATAATGTCCACTTAATTAAAACTGGATTAAGTTCGTAGATTTTAATAAAGTTCGCTTTTGTATCGAAATACCGCAACGCGCATAATAATAGCACACCCACACATGTACAGCTAGCCACAATGGCTACAAATATAGATATCTATATATGGGCGGAGGAGAGAGGAGCATCTGTGGCAGCGCGGCAGCACAACTTTTAATTAACCGGTTATTAATGGTGTTTACTGAATGAGTTATGTAATTATTATGGCAGATTAAATTCATAATTGAGGTTAAATAGAATATTTGGCTAGAAAATAAAATATTTGACTATTAAATAAAATAAATAAAAATTAATTTGAAGTAAGAACAAAACTGAAGCCAAAATTTAATATTCAATTCTTTTCACTCCAATCAATATTATCATAAATAGCAATAATTCCATAATAGCTCGGCAGTCGGTTCTTCTTTTCATTAGTTGACGTCAGATCTACTCATACGTCGTTTCCGCTATGTATTTTCAATACCCAGGAGAACTAGAGAACACTCCAAGAGTCGTCTCCCTCAGCGAATTTTACCCACTCATTCCAAAGTAACATTTACTGATCAAACTAAAATGTTTTTCGATATCCTGGTTCCAAGATAGACGAAATAATATTTTATGCTATGATTGGCAATAGTAACATGATGAATGTAGAAATTTATTTAAATAACAAATAAAAATTTGTTTGGTTGGTTAAAAAGGGAGGCGTAGGAGCGCCAGACCGCTGGGGATTATCTTGTTTATTCATGGAATATATCTGAAGAGAATATGGCAAACCTGACTGCAAGATTATTTTGAAGCACTCATCGTTCCTCTTCTTATAAGCAAAAATTAAATCAATTGTTACATAAAATATGATGGGACCGCACAATATTGGGTAAATTATTAAAGTAATATTGAAAGACATCGTGTCAATCTAAATTAAAACAACTGAACGCCAATCATTGATTCGGGTCTAAGATTCAACACCCATCGTCATGCACTCTTTCGCAAATCGAAGCGGATCTTGCTGCCGACTATGTAGAATTGAATGCAATTCTAACAATTTTACAGTGCCTTCAAAAAATAAACTTTTCGTTTTCCAAAGTTTAGGTAGCGTTTATCGGGAAAAATTTCGTAATTATAGAAGATAATTTGTTTTACAATAGCTTGCTAACTTGCAATTAAATTTTCCGTAGATTATACAGGAAGTGACCTCCAGGTATGTTGGAGTAGCCGAAAGGCATCTTTGGTTGACGTTAAATGTTTTCTTGATATTTTGGCTTTCATTAATAAACATTCTCTATTATGCTGGCGTCTGGTTAATGTTATGGCCAATGTAAAGTAAAAATATGGTTTTCTTGTTACCATCGAGTACAGATTCCGTTTCTATATTTCGGATCATTTTCTTTATGCGGTATCCGATAAGGGTTATATTTGGCATAAAACATTTCAGCTGATTTCGGTAAACTCTTTTTATACAATTTTATCATTCTAAAGGCAATCAGGTTTCATGTGAAGCACCTCAAAACTCCAAATCCATGAGCAGAGAAGCAAAAACGTGAAATGCGTCTAATTCATTGAGCAACCTTAAAGTCTACGTGATTACTTCGATATTTCTAGAGTATTTGAAGACAAAGTTCTTGATTTCGAAAGCCAACCAACTATGAACAGTTTTTTCGAATAATATTCAAAATTTGATAGTAAAAATATTCTGTCCTGTTCCAATTTAAATATGCCTGGTCGTAAATAAAACGGTTTATTGAAGCAAAAATTTGGTCCACTTCACCTATGATCCTCCATATATGGTAAGAAAAAAAGAAAAAACGTTGCACCAAAGCTGTAATACCCTTCGCAAATACAAACGATTCCTTACAATAACTTAATTCCAATCGTTCAGTTTGTATGGCAGCTATATGCTATAGTGGTCCGATATCGGCGGTTCCGGCAAATGAGCATCTTCTTGGGGTTGAACAATACGTGTGGGAAATTTCAGTTCGATCAGACAGTAGAACATAACTACATCGATTCAGCCCGTCATGCTGAAATGATCATATATACATTTTATGACGTCTGCGACGTTTTTTTCTGGGTGTTACAAACTTATGGAATAAACGTTTTTTTAGAGTATAAGGCCTTGGTTAGCTTTTTTTTTTTGGTGTCCTTTATGTGGAAGTATGATTTTAATTTTCGTATTATTATTTGACGAGATATTTATCTGATATAATTTTTTTTCTGTACTATACATATCTACCATAAATTGAATTAGCGAATCAACAAATTTAGAATAAAGTTATATTTTTCTAAGCAGATACTCATTTATAATTTTATATTTAGTTAGTTAGTTAGTTACTTCTCCTTTTATAATAGTATTATCATTTCGCATTTTCATTGCTCAATAACTGCTTTACTAATCATTCGTTTTTTGCTCTCTCCCACATTCAGCTACTATCTAAGCCACAATACAGCACTGGTGAAGCTGCTCAAGAAGCTGGGCTCACGGCCCATACCACAGTGGCTGAAAGACGACCTCTCGACAGGCACGTGATAGCTAATGCAATTCCGGCGACTGCGCAACAAGCTGCGAAAACAATTCGAATTGGTATTTGTAAGACTCAAACAACAAACGGACACGAACAACGACAACGAGATGGCAGAGGAGGAGGACACGCCTAAAAGTATACCATACAGACATCACAGACGCAACAGCTGGACACGCTATTAGGACGGCACTGGCTTGTGGAGAACGTTAGGCGGCTCAGAGAATTCTAAATTGCAAGTTTGTAGAGGAATGTGAAATGAACTAAGCGATTAGGCGAAGAAAAGAATAATGTGAAACAGTTGAAGTCAATATCTAATTTGTGTAGCTACTGAATCATGCATATTGTGTAACTACCTAGTTTAAGACAAAAGAACTAAAAATCTGTTATAAGTAAGTATGTATACGATCATGTAAATGTAGTGTTAAGTAAATATATGTAACTATGTATATGTAAATGTATGCGAGGCAATATGGCTGCAGTCGCAAAGTCACTCGACTGTATTTTATGTAATTAATAATTATTATACGCTTGTATGTGTGACCTTACGTGTGTACACATGTATTTGTTTACTTTATGTTTGTGTATATATATATGCCTAACATTATATAAATAGATATTAGGAAACTATGTGCATAGTGTATAAATGTGTTAAAGCCATATTACATGTGTAAGTGTGTACATAAACATACAAACATATATACAAAATTATAAAAATTTAATAAATTAATGTGTTTTAGTAAAAGCTAGTGCATACATATCTCATAAGTACTGTACAGTTGTTGTAATAAATGTAATCAGCAGCTTTAATTATGTCGCTAATTATGTGCAAAACAAAAACAACACAACAAAAAGCAGCTTGGCAGAAAGTTATAGGTAACAAAATTCATTTGTAGACGTCTCTTCAGAGCTGCCAGCTAATTCCAAAATTATAATGTAATTGAAAATGTATTTTTTTAACACGCGCATGTTTGGGAAAAACAAGGTTTCTCGATAATATGTATGGGAGCTGTGAAGGAAGGCCTTACACCAGCTAGTGTGTACAGAGTGATTCGTAAAACAATGCCGAAAATGCTAACTACTTTAAATAATGTTTATGGAAATAGCTTTTGAAATTTAGTCGACGAAATGTAAAATAAAATATTCAGCTTGTGAATTTTTACTAACGGTATTCATGTTTCCTTTTCGCCACTCGTAGCAATATACATTCTATGATCCCTTAAAATATTGTAAAATTTTATTTCAGTCAAAGGCTAGGAGGTTTTACTAAAAGAAACAATTTTATTACAACATATTTTTTCTAGATCTTCGAATGTTTTATTGACGTTAATCAGCGTTGTTGCCAGTATCAGACTACAAACAAATACAAAATTTTAGTAGAAGACATTAATGCTGATTACTGATTTAATGTGTGCATCAGACTTTTTATTGGTTTTTGGTGTCATGGAAACCATTTTTATCGACTCTGCTATCAAAAGCAAACCAAAAGGTTCCGCGCTACAATATTTGAATATGAGAACTAAGCATTCATTAGTACTAATCTACATTTTCAATCTTGGTCAATAATTAATAATATGACGGTCACAACCACTGAAGTATTATTAATTCAATAATTTTCTTACAGCATCAGCTTTATAACCATATTATTCTTTTTTAATATTTTAATATATATATATATATATATAGTTAAAAGTTAAAACTTAAGTCTGAGCACCATTACTTTGTACACGAGTTTAAGAGCATTTCGTGCTGACTCAAAAAAAAACTGAACTCGACATAAGAAAAGTGTATTAACGGTCGCGAAAACTAGAAAAACGCGAGCTGAACTGATGAAATTTTCAAAAACCACAAAAAACGTCTTTCATCTTAAAATAATAGACATTTTTTGAAAATCATGATTATAATGATGTTTAAGAGGATAGGGTGTGAAATGTCAATTATTTTAGGCAATACATATATTTTCAAGTATTCCTTGCTCGAGCAGCCCAACTTTTTTTCAACAAATACTCACAAGTCCAAAATACTAACTCTAAAGGGTTCCTAAAACGTACATAACTCAAGAGAACACATGTTTAAAATTTTTGAATTTTAACTCTCTTTTAAGCTGCTCTATTTTTTCCTACCTTCCACTTTCAACAGAAAATGTATCTAAAATTAATTAACGAAACAGGGAATCACTTCAATAATTAACTAATCAAAAGTTTTACAATTTTCTGAAGGGTTTCTGAATCGTCTTCATTTCTCTAGGAACATAACTATATTAAAGGAAGCTAAATTAAGAATTTTTTAATGCGATTTCAAGTTAAATGACAATTAAAATAAAATTCAAGTCAATGTCAAAAGAAGATATAACCTAGGAAGATCTCTTGATTTTTAGTAAATTTCAGGGCCTACTATCTCTATTACCGACATATGAATAAGTTAATTTCATTTAGAAGTATGCAAATATTTATTGAATGCAACGTGATCGAATATAACGTCACAATAGAAATGAATAGAAATGTGAAGAAGACTTAATATTGCAAATACATTGATAAAACCTGCAAACCTGAACGATACTTTTATACCCTGAGCAGGGTATATTAAGTTTGCCGCGAAGTTTGTAACACCTAGAAGAAAACGTCGCAGACCCTTTAAAATATATACATAAAGATCAGCGTGACGAGCAGAGTCGATTTAGCCATGTCCGTCTGACGGTCCGTCTGTGTATCCGCGAATTAGTCCCTCAGTATTTGCACACGTCCTGTTCTCTCCAAGAAGTTGCTCATTCGTCAAAATCGCCGATATAAGCTATTCTATATTCATATATGTTGCTGCCATAATAACTGAGCGACCAAAATGAAGTCCTTGTATGGCAAACTTTTATATTTGGCAAAATATTTTCACGAAATTTGACATAAATTATTGTCCAAGGCAACGGTAAAATCTCCTAATAAATTGTACATTAAATTCAATGTTTTTCAAAAGTTGCATATTCCCAATGAAAATGTTTCGCTGTATTTCATCAGGAGACCAGAGTAAAAATCAACAGTGAAGAGTAGATTTGTATAACCGAATTAAATTACTAGAAAAGTGCAACGATTTACAAACATAAAGACACTCGGTTATACAGATTGCTAATCTACATACTAAAACATAATTAACTGCCATACATTTTAAATTAAAAATTAAATAATAAAATAATCTTATTTCAACATAACTTTTTAATGTGTAATTTGGCCATAATTTAAAGTTAAAATAATACTTTTTAATCATTGTCAAATGTTTCAATATTTATTTAGATAAAATAAAATAAATTGTATTCGTGGCATAAATAGTCCGTCTCACAAAAACTTCACACATAAGTTTGTATTATATTCATCCGAAATTACGCTTTAAAAATAAGATAAAATTAATTTTAATTTAAAACAACAAATATCGTAGAAATATGTGACACCAAAACTAATTAAATTAACAAACAGTTATTTCCTTGTATTTTTTTTATTAATTATGCGTGAATGAAATATATTGCGGCGAATTTAAATTCTAATTGCTGCACCGCTTGGTGAACGGTTAATTGCTCATTCATACTCTAAGTACATAATTATTTTCACAGTTCATTAATTTTGGCAAATTGAGTTTCATAAGGATATACGCGTGACTAATCAGTACTCATATATATATACATATTTTACCTAATGCTAATCCTAAATATGTCAAAAAGTAATATTTTCATATAAAAAACTTCTTTGGTTTGTAATTATGATCCGCTATAATATCTTCCAGTCATACCATTATCATACAGTAAAAAATATGACTGCTTACTTTACTTTTACAACTAGCTATTGCAAGCAGTTCAAATATAATAGCGCTTCAAACTCTTCGCGTTGGATTAAAAATAACCAAGGGCACTTTTATTTAGTATTATTTTCCCATATGTAAGAGTACGTATGTATGTAAAAAAATGGGAGTATTTGACAAAATTAGTGTCCTTCAGGCTTAATTGGTTATATCACTTTTATTGTTGCTTCTCAACCTTCGTCTCTTTTACAATTTGCGGAATCCTCCGTCCAGTCAATCGTTATTCCTTGCTAGCGAAAATAAAAAATTAAGAACCTTTTGCAAAACTATAAAACTGTTATCTTCTGGTCTTGTAATGGAGATTCTATAACACTAGCGAAGATCTGAAGATCTGGGATCTTATAATTCCTGACATTATTTAACATGACAATAAACCATACACTAAATACAAAGGAGTCATAACTCAAAAATTTTCAAAATCGATTTTGCATATATCAATTCGTAATACACTTTCCTACCTATCCAGAAAATTTTAATGACATTACTATCTTATTTAACTGAAAAATCACCAATAGGTCTACTACTGGGATCAAAAAGTAAGGTGATGAAAACCAAATAGGGTCTTGAAAGTTATACCGGAAAAAGACTATTCCGAATGTTTCGAGGTCTAGAAAAAGCGTTGGAAAAGTGTGTTTTTACGGTGATAACTTTGAATGCGATGAAATTGATTTGGAAGAATAAATATAGAATTTAATTTTTTTTTACAAACTAAATCGCCACAGTCCTTCTGTGTTAATTACGTCGTTTGCCTTACTTGTGCAGTACTAATTAGAGAATGCTACGTATTTGTAGTTAAACAAAAAAAAAACAATAATATTTAAGTAAGACGCTCCTTAATGCAGATATTGTATGTTATGGACGACTATTTGACTAAAAAAGTCTAATAATTTGTACACGAAAGTTTTTGTTTTTTTGTACTTGTACTTTGATGTAATATTTTTTGAAACCTATACGTACATACACTGCACTTCATCAGGTTAGTACACTTCAAGTTTAAATAATAGTTTGGTTAATTTCAATTCTATTAAATAAATTAACAATTAAAATTAGGACATCAGGTTAGCACATATCAGCTTTTTTGGTATTCTTTAACATTTTTAGCCAAGAACATTTGTATATTATTTTAACAATGAGTGGATCCCGCCATATTGAGAATGATCTCTAACATCCGATAGGGTAGCGAAGTAATTTTCCAATGTAATTTAAGGAAATCAATGACAAAGCATTTCTTATACCTTCAGAAACTCCTCTTTAGTGGAATATTATCGGCCAGAATCGAAAACTTTGCGAAGCAACCATGCCCACATCTTTTCTATTGATGTAATGTGAAAAAGGCGCGTATCGTGCAAAATTTCAAACAAATTTTTCAAGCATGAAAAGCAGTTTCCAGTATGTTTTTATACGCGGTTGCATTCATATTAGCATTCAAAAATTGCAGGTCGAATATACCACGTTAGAAAATGTCTCCTCATACCGTTACACAGCTCACACGTCTATTTAGTCGTTCCACCTTTCGAAGATCATGGAAATGATAATTGTATCCATCGACCTTTCCGAAATAATTTCTTCTTCGTCTAAAGAGACAGCATAGCACCAATCAAACTTTGAGGCCTCCAGTGCAAAATGTGGTTGTGTTTCTTTTCGGGGAACCTTGGGTGGTAGTCTTTTTTTTAGTTTTAATAGTTTCAAATACGGAGCATTCCTTAGCATCCCCTAAACAGCAGATGAGCTCACTTTAAGAACATCATTTGGCCGGATCTTGGCGGGCGATTTATAAGAGTCTTATGCGTTTCTCAAAAGTGCTCTCTTGTTGACATCGTACTCCGATTTATTATGTAAGAAATCGTATATAACTTTTCGACTTCTAAAAAGGTTTTTTGATGTTTCAATTACTGAAATTATTGAAAGTTTGGTGTCAATCCGCATTCAAACTCTGCAACGCAAAAATAAGAAAACACTTTTTGACTCAAAATAGCAGAAAATAGCAAAATTCATATAACGGTACATTATTATTGCATGTGTTCTTTAGCAGTCGTTCATACAAAAATGAGAAAATCAAAAAACAATAAAGTTGCTAAAAGTTAATAACAAAAAAGTCAGCAACATAGGTGTATTAACCTGGTGACGTGCAGTGTACTCGTATAAATTTTTTCCAAATTAACTATCATTAAGCCACTCTATATATACATATACTACATAACATCTAATATTATGTACCTTAGGTACTTATGCTATCAGACATTTTACACTCTCAGTGGTTGCAGATTTTTAATATTTCTCTTCTTCATTAGTTGATTGTATGTCTGCCATTACCAATGTGAATATACCTATAATTTATCAACCAAGCCTAAATAAAAAGCTTTACTTCAAAATATTCACACATTAATATTTTTCGCTATGTATAATATACATTTGTCTACGAGTACATAAGCACCTGCGATACTTTGTACATAGAAACCCCGCTGCTTTAGAACCGAAATAAATGCTTGTCTACCATATCTGTCTATTAATACCTTATGTATGTATAAATGTAATTAAAGTGTATCACATCAAGAGAAAAAATGTAAACAATTACAGTAAGTCGATAAAATGCAGTGTCAGCTCCAACAACTTTATTGATTTTACCATTTAAGATAAGTTATCTGTGAAAGTGTGCCGCTTTACAAAAAACAAAAAAAAAAAAACATAATAATAATAACAACAAGACAACAACAATTGTATGAGGTAAATTAAATAACAAAAACATATTCATAAAGAGACAATAAGAAAACAAAAAACGAGTAAATAAACGAATAAAAAAAATTCAGAAGTCAAAAGTGCGAATTTATATTTTAATTAAAATGTTGCAGGAAAAATGAATTGAAATTGCAGTGGCGCAAGAAACTTCAAAACAATTAAAATACACATACCCTTTTTATTTGATAACAGTAGATATTTCGTTCGCAGAGCTAACGATCACGTCATTGAGGTCTCTAACTGAGCTCTTATTTTATAGGTATTTAATGTAAGGTGATGAAATTTACATTTTTTTGGAAAGATGTGAACAGATTTGTTTCTATCAGTAAAATTTGTTACCCTCTCTATCTCTACCGAATTTTGTTGCATTTTACTCCATTTATAGTTTATAGTTATTTTTATTTATTTATATATATTTGTAAGTATACCATCTATATTATTTATCCTCTAATCGAATAGCGATCGTAATCATAGTACCGTACTTACAGAAAGTTTGCTCTAATCTCCGATTTCAAGTCTCGTTCTCGCTCATTTCACGTTTTGATATATTTTTAAACGCCTGCTGACAGCATATCTCGCTAACTTGAAGCTGCACATTCATCTTAGGGAAGGAAAAAGATAACATATATAGGCGATATATAGGCATCATTCATTTTTCTACAGAATCACTTATGTGCACTTTTATATTCTACATTCTTTATAACAAACAGCGGTCAGAGAGAGTTGAAATCATTATATTGCCTACATGGACAGAGACGTGAGTTTATGAATATGACGTAGTATTGACTGTTCAACAATTTACTGAATGAAAATGAACCGAAAGAGCTAAAATTTCAGCCGAGCCTTATAACAAGTGTATGGAAAATTGAATTAATACCCCTATTAAGGTGTTCAACTCCACTCAGTTTGATTGAAGTTAAAGCAATTCAACTTTAGACTGAACTTGAACTATTGTTTGGTTTCACGAACTTCAACTATGAACTTTCAGTCGAAGTTTTATTGGTGTTGTCAACCTAGAAAGTGAATCTTTGACAGATTGCAAAACTACAGCCTAAATTCAATTAAGTTGAAAACCGTAACAGGGCTTTAACCTTGGCCTGTTTCCATTGGCTCAGGAGCCTATTGAAAGAAATAAAACGCATATAATTTAAGATAAGAGTTTGCCATTGTATTTTAAAAATGATTTCGGGCAAGTGACCGCCGTGGCTAGCTCTAATAAATACCAGCCGACAGGCCAACTTTAATCGTCTTGGACTTATCTGCGTAGACAAGCAATTTCACATAACCTCATAAAAAATATTTCAGCGTTGTTCAATCGCACAATCTCGAAGGTCGCGCCACCGCTCACCAAAACTTTCCTTCAATAAATTAATTGTGTTAGGTGTTATTAGCTGTATGGCATGTAGCACCTTAGTCTTGTCTTAAATATCCTCCAATTCCGGCACGAAAAAGGCATTAATCTCTATAGCGTTCCCCTTGTCGGCTTAATTTTTAAAGATATATGGACCAATGATTTCCTGATGAATATTGAGGATAAATCAGCGTCTCAACAATGGCTTGTGGATTACCATCACTCCATTTGCGACAATTTGGTTTATAAACGTACTTATTCAACCAAAAGTGAGCTTCAGCTCTGAGCAAAAATGTAAAAATTGCATCGTGCGAAACGACCCCTAATTAGGTAATAAATTTGCACGATTTGCATACGTTATTCCGGAATAAGTCTGTACATTACGAAATGGCAATCCATACTGAGTATAAATCTAATAAAAGCATTCAAAAAAACCAACTTCGAACAATTATTGCCTCCCATATCCGATCGGCAGATGGACCGCGGCGATTCCTAAAAGAAGTAGTTTTTGCGAAAAAATTGTGTCTTCTGAGTGACTTAAAAAATCGCATTATTGTCAAAATCGTATTCCTTCGATCATTACCTGACAAATATTTCTAAGAAGGTCGGTTGTAAACTTCAAGTATATCGGTTCTGTCGTTTTGAAGAAACTTTCCTTACCGACTCTGAAAACAGTGCTTCGAGAAAAACGCTTTTAGATTCTAAAGTTTTTGAAGCCGATTACACAAAGCTAAAAAAATCTTACAAATACAATGGTATCTCTGAAACTATTTGCCGGATAAATTAAAATTGTTCGAAAAATATTTTCAAATGTATGTACATTCTATATATCAGCAAAGAAATTATATTTTTGGTAATTCATAACTGGATAAGAACCTTTAATCAAATTAAGTGGCCATATTTTTGAGCTTACCATCTGATGAAATTTGAGCTGGACTGTTTTCATATCTCAGAAAAGCTCTCTTGCTAAATTACATTTCGATACCTTAAATTTTGCTTCAGGTTTTGTTTCTTATTAGACAAGAACGATCCATATAATTCAATTACCGTTTCTAACTTTCATAAGAACGGCTTATTCGCATCTGATCCATATGTGTGCGTGACGTATCAACGTTTTCGCAAATTTTGGGATAATTGGTGCAAAAAAGGGACCTGTTGTCAATTATGAGTGTTACACAAGTATCTTAATTATGATTAGTGAGTTGTAACAGTTTATTATGTATAATCAGATTTTAATTATTGTGTTAAATCGTAAAGTACTTCTGCTAAATTCGTTTAAGCTCAATCTCGCCCCTTTTTATTACCATATTCTATAACTGCTATTTTGCCGTAAGTAAAAATACACCTAACGATTAATAGCAGCATTATTAAGGACGCATTCGTATGTATGTATATATAATGATATCCTTAATATTTTTGCATATACACACCTGGTTTTGTTATACCTTGTTCAACCACCCTATCCAAAAAGCTTTGTTATGCTAAAGCTCTAAACGGAAATGAAACTTTTGTACGTCTACGTCCTGTTCATTCAGCTTTTTATATAAGCAATTATTTTTTATGAAAAAGCTCCATTTGTAAAATTAAAGCTTCCGATTTGAAATATGTGTAGTAGACATGTGTTTATAAGCATATTTAGGTAATCCGAAGCAATCAATTTTAACGTTTATTACAAAAGTATCAGAGAGATGGTTTATGTAAAAATATCTCTTTAGAAATGTAGATTATATACCTGTAATCGAAAATAATAAAAACTTCAATGCATGATGCCCATTTGGTACGAGTATTCAACCCACGTGAAGGTCAACATAGTTAAGAGTACAGCAATAAAGAGAGCTTAGTAGCAAGCTTTCTCTTTCCGCATAGCTTATTCTCTTCATAAACTTTTCTCGTGCGAATTTTTAATTTAGGTGTGCTTTGCGTATGCAACATTGTCCAACCTTTGCGTTTGACACTGACATCGACAATGTGTGCTATCGTGTTGATTAAGAAACTTACAATGTTGTGTATACTTCTTTAAGCAAAATTATTCTATTTCATCAAATCAAAAATGTTTTTCGAATCATTTTTATAGAGTCTATTATGTCTTTCCATTGACATAATAGCGTTCTAGATTTTATTTTACATTAAAAGTGCTATGTTGTTTGATATCCGATATTAACAATTTAGCTTATGCGCCGAAGTTAAAGATATAATTTAAGACTAGTAACAGCTTTCTGAAATAGTTCGTCGAAATTTGAATAAAAATTAAATTGGTTATCTTATTAAATCCTCAAGCACATCAACAAAATGCCCCGTAACTAATCGGTTTGCCAAATTGCCACTAGTCAACTCCCAACTGTGGCAACGCCACCCTACAACTAAGGTGGAAGATAGTGAAAGCAGTTCATGATAAATGCTAAGCGAAAGAGAACTTTCAGTTGTCGGCCAACCTTCTTCGCGTGTTGGGGACAGTTTATTTCGCACTGTGGAGCATAGTCTGCCGCCGCGGCACAGTTGTAAAGCGAAAGAACAAACAAACGAGGGAGCAAGGAGCCCGATCCATAGCTAACGACAACGACAAGTGAGCTCCCCGGTGTTTGAATTTGTTGTCTTAGCTAGAGGCAAACACATTTACATACCTACCTACAGTGGAGTATAACTGAGCGAGCGGGCTCGTGTGTGTGTGTCTGTGCAAAGTGAAATAATAAAAAGGGAAAAAATAATAAAAGTGTATAGAATATAGTATGTGAATAAGTAGAGCAAGAAAATTGCCCAGAGAAGTTCCTGATCCTAAGTTTTACACAAATAATTCAAATTTCTTAATCACTATCAGCAAGAGTGCGAGCTTTCGGCAAAGTGAAGTTGTCGGTTGTTCTTTGTTATTATTGCTTATTATTGTTAGTCGGTGGTGTGTAGACGGCGCGGCAAAGCGGTACAAAAGTGGGCGTACGAATAAGCGGGCGTGTCATTGCTGGTGTAGTTACAGGATTCGGGGTGAATATGGCGCCAGGCGTATGCGTAACAAGTTTCCGTATGCTACTGCGACGTACGGAGTTAAGCAGCCATCTGAGCCGTGGACTGCGGCTGACGCCAACCGCGCCGTACTTGTTGGTAAGTGGTTAACAAACAGTATGGCACTCAAAATGCTGTGATTGCTCAGTTTAAAAGGATGTTTAAATGAAAAATGTTCTATGCTGCTCTCGCATCCTCCTAACTCCCACGCAAAACGCTGCGGCATTGACGTCTGACAGTTGCTGTCCGAATATTTTTGGCATATTTCACTACAACATCTTCCTCGGTCGGTGTATATGTAGGTTAACGACATTCAACGCTCACTGATGCCTAATTAAACCAGCGAACAGAAAGCAGAAAGCAAACCTCAAAATTATAGACACCAAAGGGTCACCCCACTGCTTTGTTATTCTTAGTTGGTGTAGAGATGATTATTAGTGCTAATAGAAATTATGCGGCTGTATCGAATTTATCTTAGAGTTAATGTAGATATTTATGGAAATATTTGTGTGCGTGCGTGCAAAAATAGACGCCGACGAGCCGGTTAACTAAAAAACCAGAGAATTTGATGCCACTGCCTTAGCGCTGGTCAGCAGCTGAGCAACGAGGCGGCGTCGCGACACTGTGGGGAGGTTAACAATGACAAAGACGCTTCAGTGCTTCGCCAGTTTGTATGTTTCTACGTATGTATGTATGTAGGCCTGCGGAGCATTTGTGCTTCGAAGATTAAGTTAGCGGAGAGTAGTGAGCGGCAAAGTAAAAAAGAAGAGAGTGTATTTTGGAGCAGAGCAGAGTAATTTGTAAATGTGGAGAACAGACAAACGGAACGATTATAAATACATATAAACATGCAATACATATATATGTATATATTATTTTAGTAAATCTTTTTTTAACATCGCTTGTAAGTTTTTAATGCTTTTAATTTCGTTTGTTTTGGTGTCAAAGGAATTATAACTATGCCACTTTCCAGAGGCATCTTCACATTGCCTAGGTGAAATTGATAAAATATTTTCAGCACAATTCTTCATCTTCTGCGCCAAATTAGCTGCACAACAGTTGTAGTATATGCGTCCCTTGATGCTATGTGTCATAATAAATCATCAGGGTTTTTACGTTCTACCATTTGCACTATATTTGCCGAAGATATTATTAAACATTATTGTTGGTTTTTGAATCGATCAACGGTGCCGTTGACATTTGAAAGCTTTTATTTACCTTAGAGTGCCCTCTCATCAGTGCATACCCACATGGAACTGCATTTTATACCTACATTCGTATGTCTGTATGGATTTATCTATAACCTGCATATATTGTCATAAAGGTGTTTGCGCCAATTGAAACTCCCTCTTATTGGAGCTATAGATAGTTTTAAGGGTTTGAACGCTCTGCTAATGGAAAGACATTTTCTATTAGCTTCCGCTTTTATATACAAGTAATCTGTGTGAGCGCATACCTAAGCTATAGATACTTTGATTATGGCTTATTCGGATAAGGTAATAGGTAATTGCATCTAAGCTAAAGTTGATAACCGATACATTGTGGGCTTCCACTAATAGATACTGGCTGCAAAGCTCAATTCAGCCCAGGCTTGTCAGTTACGCATTCCCTAGAAAAGGCATGCGAGCTGTTAACGATTAACTTCGTTATTTTTTTTTTATTGCTATAACTGGAAACAAACTTCATATTTCATCGTGGAAAGCTAATGTAACCTTTCACAATATTGGCAAACGCTATACCCTCCAATGGGTGTTAAATAGTGAGCGAACGCCACTTTTTCCATTTGTTATTTGCTGAAATGTAATAAAAATATTGACAAAAGAATGAAACTGCATAGTTCAATCCATTCCGTACATTCCTAGTAGAACTGATTAAATCAAGTTAAATAAATTCCACTCAAAGCACGATTGCGAATGCACAAAGCTGCCAAGCACGCGTCAAGCTAAAAATAGTAGATGACCTTTTGACAAATTTAATTACTAATCAATGCTTTATTTGATATTTAATCAGAAAATTTCTGTACACAGAATTGTATATACATGGCTCGATCTCCTCGACCGCACAGCTGCATTCATTTGCGCGCTAAAACAGCCAAACTAAAATTGGACAAAGAGCAAAGCAGAGTCAGAGATATACAATTTAAGAGTAAGAGTTACACATTGCTCAAAGTGTTCGAAAACTTGATCGAGGATACTAAATATCCATATTTATTTAGTTGGCGTGTAGCAAAGAGAGCCTTTAGTCAGCATTTAGATCCGGAACACATATCTGTTCCCTAAACCTAAACCTAAACAATCTAAATGTCACATGATATTTTACATAAACCATGCATCTTTAGAGCATAATTAAGGAGCGTGGTATATTTTTATTGAACTGAATAATTTACAGTATCCAGAATGAAGTTTCGCAAAGGCTACCCTAAATTCACGAGGCAACTCGATCTCTTCATCTGCAATGGACGATGGTTTGACTCCAAGGATGCCATGCACTGGGAGGGAGCTAGTGAAGGTGTTAATAGCTCCACTGTGAATGACGCTCATTGTATGTCTGAGTTGAGTTGCGTCCGTAGTCCAATCGGTGAATTGTCCTATGTCATCGACGTAATCAAGGAATGATCTTTAGCTAGGTCTCACTGTGCAAGTGTTAAATGGGAGATATCAAGAGGCATCCTTTTATTGTACGGAATGCAATGTTCTAACACGTCTAAAGTTCCTTCGTCTGCGTCCCACTATACCCAGATGACCATATCGGTGCTTCGTAAGTAATGACAATGTAGTTGTCAAAAACTTTTCTTTATCTTTTCGCCAGGTGCTGTACGCGGTCGTCTGCGATATTAACACTAAACTAACAAGGGGGGTCAAAATGACTTGTTTGACATTTCTCAACTCATTTCAGGTACATTTTTTTTCTGAAAATTTTGTACGACTTTTTCTGAAACATACAAATAATTAATTCTGTAAAACAGTTTTCTTTTTTTTTATTATTTTGTTGTAAAATTATATGCAGTATACCTACATATACCGAGATGAGTCATTTTGACCCCCCACGAAACAAGGTTTTCGGTGCTGTTCTGTTGTATCGTGGAAACTATTTGTGGCACGTAGCCTAAAAGAAGAAAAGAAAAAGAAAGTTTATAATTTTATTATCGATGAGTGTGCGCTTAGCCTCAGTCGATCAGAAACACTGCCATTACTTAGTCAGTCGTCTATCAGAAACATTGAAACACCACTCTTAGTACAACTATATTCGCTGTAACCTCATCCTAACTATATCGGAAAATATTTGTAAAGTTTTAGAAGTATTTCATTACGTAAGCTGCAGAAATATTTGAACCCATAGAATTCGAAACAATGGGAAAAATTTACGAAGCAGTTAATTATCGAAAGAAATAAATAATTTGGAAGAAAATTGTTCCGATACAGAGTATGATGAAAGTGATCTAGTTGAAAGTGAAAATGAATACCTTCCATCAAACAACAAAAGTCTAAGCAAGCCATCCGATACTGACTGTTGAAAAAGTAAAAGAGTCCAAGTTTTTTCTAAGTTTGAAAGTGAAAGTGATCAGGATGTTGAAATGTCTGTAATCGATCAAGATACTGAAATATCTGTTGACGGCAGTATGTGGAAAAAACTGCAAGAGGGCTCAACACCAGGAAGATTATCAGTACACCACATTTTCAAACAAATGTCAGGCCCAACGGCATACACGAAACGACATATTATGAAAGGTAGTGTAGGAACAGCATTTTCTTTGATATTATGCAATAGTGTTATGAGACATATAAAAATTTGCACTGAAGCAAAAGCTCATCGAATTCTAAATAACCATGACTGGACTGTTAGCAGAGTTGAATGCGTTTTTAGGAATCTTATATGCTCGTGGTGCAAACGAAGCAAAAAATTTAAAACTTCTATATTTATGGTCCGAAAAATGGGGTCCGAAATTTTTCTCTAAGACAATGATCAGAAATAAATTCACCGACATTTTTGGGCTAATTCGGTTCGATAAACCAGATCTAGATTTACGCAGTATATGCCAAATAAGCCAAAAAGTTTGGTATAAAATTCTGTTTGTCGTCGAATGTAAAAAGTAAATATGTTGTAAATGCATTGCCCTACTTAGGAAAAGACGAAACGAGATTATCCGTACCATTAGGTCAATTTGTCGCCTTATAATAACTATAAGTTACCATATATTGGTTGCGGAAGAACAGTTACAACAGATAATTTATTTTCAAATTTGCCATTAGCAACAAAACTAATAACTAAAAGAACTTCCTCAGTTGGCACTATTAGACAAAATAAGAGAGAACTACCTAAACTTGCAAAATCTAAAAAGGATAACATGTCTCGTTTCTCGACAGTACTTTATAAAACAGAAAAATGTACTTTGACCATATATACTTGTAAGAATTAACCCAATTAAAAAGTATTAGTGCTCAGTTGAAATCATAAGTCAGATGACATTTTATAACAATACCAAATTTTTACCAAAAGTCAATATTAAAAATGTTTTTGACTTTTATGCATAATTATTTAAAAAATTACTCCTGTTATATTACTATTAATATTCAGATTATATTCAAGTTTTATTCATAAAATTATAAAATATATAAAAACGTAAAAATTGCTGTATTTTTTTATATGTCTCTTAGTAATTTAAGAAACAAGTCATTTTGACCCCTCCGGCAGAAGTACGTATACGTCAATCGTCGGTAGTTCTATTGTTAAACACATATTTCCACGCCAACTATCTTTTTATAGATAATTTTATGACCTTAAATTTTTGTTTGAGATAATTGTATGATCAAACTTACCGTTTCGCTGAAGTTCGTGAAAAAAAAAAATTTTTATGGCCACATACCGGAACGATGAGGAGTTTTATTATGTTATTTTTAAACATGTCTTGAACATTTTCACGCACTGTATATTACGAGTATATTGATCGGACTAATAATCATGCCAGAATTTCTTTATCGATAAAAACTTTGACGTTCCATATACTTGTATACCGAAAACCGGAATATTGTACTAGTATGCCCGTAATTTATTCAACTGTAGCAAAATGTACCGGATTTAGATGATAAGGTTACTCTGTT